TCAAATGATAGTGTATTATTTTGGAATAAAAAAACTCTGGAACCAAATCCGAGACAAAATTAAAACTACAGGGACCAAATAAAATATATATAACTATTTCCATGAGGGCAACACCTGTGGGCAACGAGAATATTCGAACCATTAAGACCATAAACGTTAAAAGACGGAAAGAAAAGAGAAAAAAAWWAATAAATAATAAAATAATAATCCACGTGGACTGACGATCTTCTTCATCTCCCAAATCGCGATGCCAAAAATCAGACCAAACAGCTTCAATACCTTCTCCATTACTCTCACTGGTAATCCACACCATCAACGCTGAAATCAACCCAATATCCCATCTACAATTGGTTCTTGAATCCATTTACCCCTAAAATTTCATATAGATTGTTTTTCAGATCTCCCCATATGGTGAGGTATTTTGAAATATAGGGCTGAGCTTAGGGCCCTTTTGATCTGGTGAAAAGAAGGGCCCCAGAGAGAGTGAACAAGCTATGAAGGACATGTTCGGAAGCCCTGGAAGTGTGAGTGGATTGATGTTGCGAATTGGCCAATTTTTATGTGCTGCTGCTTCGATTGGGTGGATGGTTTCAGCTGCTGGATTTTCGAACTATACTGCATTCTGGTATGATGTTTGTGTTTCGATTCATGACATTATTTGAGTTGTGAATTAGCCGATACTGCATTTTGGCATAGGGTCCACTTTGCCAAATTTATAGGAAATAATTTCACGTTTTAATTGATTCGTATACCAAATTAGGCATGTGGATTTTTTTTCAATTTTGTTTCTATATGAGTTTTGTCTTTTGTTGATTAAGATGAGTTTCTAGCTTTCCAGTTTCCATGATTCTGATATAACCTCACGATTAGAGTCCATTTTGCCAGATTTGGAAATGTTAAGGATGTGGGTGAATGTAAGAGGGGACTTAAGTATRTGGTTGTTCTTGTACTAAGAGCTTGTTTGTTAGCAGCTTAATGAGCTTATACACGATTGTTTGATAGTGGTTTAATGATATAGAAAGTGGCTAATTCAGTAAGCTCTAAGAGGATCAATGTGTGATATTTCGAATCCTCATTACTAATGGAATCAAAATGATCTCTGGGGCTTTATGCAGAAACCCGAGTGTTTTTTCTCCAAAACWGCTCCTCCCATTTAGAAAACACCGCTTTTTGCGTATATGAAAAAGCTCTCCTAAACAAAAACTTTCTCACTCTATACAAAAAGATTAATCCAACTTCACAAATACATTTTATTCATACGGGACTTAATGGAAAATCAACCAAACAGATTGGACTCCTTTATTGGAGCAATGTGGCTATATTYGTGGTTAGTGCATTAAATGAGCTGTTGGCTATGAACCTTTTAACCAACCAATRTATGTCCAATTTTGGCGCAGCTATTTAATAGCATCGATGGGACTTCAAGTGTTGTGGAGCTTTGGGYTAGCTTGTCTTGATGTCTATGCTATTAGAATCAAGAAAGACCTTCAAAATGCTGTCCTTGTGAGCTTGTTTGTGGTTGGCGATTGGGTATATATCTTATTCATTCATACAACTTTCTTTCTGTTCATTCTTCATCATTGATCTGATTTTGATACTTGMCATAAATTAGGCTGGGTAACTAACTAGTGCATGAAGTTTATAACTGTTTCTCACGTCATATATCTATTTTGATACATCATGCTATTAGATTAGATGAAATTCCTTTTCATTCCCAAAAGAGAATTGCATTTTTCTATGTCAAAGCTAGAATCCACAGCAATATTACTTGGAAGTTCAATGCAATGCTTCAAAGTTTTCTCAAACGTATTTAGAATCCACAAAATTTGTACTTGAAAGAGAGATTATCCGGTTGCTCCTTTTTGGGAATGGAGAATGATATCTCTTTCTTTGGATGTGAATTTGATGTATATATGATTTTGGCTTTGTTCCTTGAAATAAACAAGGACAAAGKAGCTACCAACAAGTTGTAATGCTCTTTGACTTGCATAGAGTTGGGGTCAAATATATATTTTTTCGTTTGTTTGCACTCTTCTCTAGTTTTGAAAATAGAGATCAAACTTTTCATGTTAGAGKTTTTATGGGTTAGTATGCCTTAGCATTAGTGTTCACGAAGCACATGAGTTGTGAGTAGAGTTAAGTTATGATCTAAAAGGCTTTATATGAATTCACAGATCATATCCAATCAAATGTTATGACCATGGCATTCARTGAATTACAAGATCCTAAATCGAAGAATCTTTAGTTTGCAATAGAGTAAGGATGCAAAACATCTTAARGTAATGGAGGGGAATACGTTGTCCCCAAAAAGAAACCTTGTAATGAGTATGAAACCTTGTAACAAGTATGAACCCATGTTGGAGTGGTTATTGTTATCACCATCCTTTCATCCATAGGTCAGGTTAGCTGCATCATGTCTCGTGATGCATGTTTTGCTATTAGGAGCACCTTTAATGCTAAAAAAGAGAGAATTTGTCAGAGGAAGCCATTTGCATGAATCTGTTTGCACCATGCATAGTTTTGCATATGTAGACATTTTATCACTACTCAGAACTTTAAGATGAGGATTTGATTGTGAGTCAATTATAGCATGTATTCAACTGCTTCATAAGCTGCTTGTTTCATGGTTTGATACTCATACTCAAAACCTGAAAGTGAGACTACATGTCTACATCTTGCTTGTTGTTTTTCCCAGAGATCAGCTCCCCATCAAAAACTTATTTATACGTTATATACAACCAAATATTGTGAATATACACAATGTACTATGRAGCATGAGCCAGAATCTCCAAACACATTATTAAATCTCAAAATGGAAGTCTTCTAAATGATATCATCCCTACTTAAAACATTTCAATATCCACCCTATCCATAAACATCTTAATGAAGTAGTCGTAAAACAATCAGAGACGTTATTCAAAGAAATCTAAATATGACTCTAAAACTCAATTAAGACCATTATGATTGATGGCCTACCCGTGGGGTAACCCAATTACAAGTAATCACGGTGGGTAATAACCAATTAATTATGGGTTTCAGATGATGGGTAATGGGCAACCATAGGATTATTTTATTTTGAAAAACACCACTGTTAAAATTTCCTTTACATTCTACTTGTTAAATAAAACTATATAAAACAAAAATACAAAAATCAAATATTGCATTCACTAACTACTTAAAATAATAAAAGCATTATTGTCTTATTTTACAGTAGGTAACTTATGATAACATCCCTCATATTCATGTTCTGTGGCTTATAAGCTTGAATTAATTTCTTTAAGATATAACTTAAAATACTCACCAGTGTTGTCATCAACAAAATCAACCATTTTCACTTTTATTTATAGGAAAAAATYCTCCTACAAAGCAAATATTTCAAAACTATAATTATCAATCAATAAAACATAAGAAGTTTTGAAGTTTAAAAGCGTTCAATGCACACACACACATTATATATGTGTATACACATATTTATTTATATACTTCTAAGATGTGTGGTTTTCATTTCAAGCATCAAAGGTAGTATGGCAAGGATAGTTTACTACAAATTTAAKTATATACTTTTATAAGAAAAATTTATTGGTACTTCCCCGTACCCATAGCTCTTCTTTTGTAACAGAAGTTTTGTCTTCTCTGATCAAACATTGTACAGATCATGCTATAGACAGAAGTATCATGCCATGGGATAATATTTGTTGTCAATTCCATTTGACAATTGAAACTGAACTTGACTATGTCCTAATAAATTARAAGTTGGAGTAAAATTTTACAAAACAACAGGAATCTATAGCTACTCCATATACATTAAACATAGAAGTATTTTGTACTACCACCAAGCCATATTAAGCTGTGAACATCTCCATGGGAACTGACATGGAGGCTGAAATTTGGACATATGTGATATCCTGTTGAAATATCCTTTGGCTTCTTGCATTTACTTAGTAGTGATGCAGCTTTGAAGTATCACCATGTCAACAAAATGTCGATGACAGCGTTTGGTA